CTGCCCAGAAGATCTTCCAAGACAAGGATAGAGGATTGAGCCCAGCGCTGTCCTTTGAAAGCTTGCTACACATGGCAGTCTCTCCCCTTGTGAATTCCTGGGTGTACTGATGTACTCACTTTGTCCTCCTTGCTCCCGCTGCTCCCAGGCCTTGATCCTGTTCATGTTGCACTGCTGAATGGATCTTCCTGAGCCAGCCCCCCCTAGACCGAGGGGACCCCTCCCAAGCAGCCGACAGTCTCCTCAGCACTCCATCGACTCCCCTGCCAGCCTAAATCTCAAATATTTATGGGTTGGTTAACCTCTTGTGACGCGGTGGAGAGGGGCTTTGGGTTTGGTGTTTGGAATGCATGAATGTTTGGGAATTGTGTTCGGGAAAACGTATCCACTTCATCAGCCTGCGTGCATTCTAAACACAGTGGGATGAATTGTCCCCATCATTGGTGCAAGAGGGAGGAATAGTGCCCCATCATTGGTGTCAGTGGGAGGAATAGTGCCCATCATTGGTGTCAGTGGGATCGTTGGGCAGGTATATGTGCCCCATCATTGGTGTACAGTGGAGGAATAGTGCCCCATCATTGGTGTCAGTGGGAGGAATAGTGCCCCATCATTGGTGTCAGTGGGTAGGTATAGTGCCCCATCATTGGTGTCAGTGGGAGGAATAGTGCCCCATCATTGGTATCAGTGGTAGGAATAGTGCCCCAGTTGGTGTCAGTGGGAGATTAATAGTGCCCCATCATTGGTGTCAGTGGGAGGGGAGGATAGTGCCCCATCATTGGTGTCAGTGGGGAGGTGTCAGTGGGAGGAATAGTGCCCCATCATTGGTGTCAGTGGGAGGTGCCCCAATAGTGCCCCATCATTGGTATTAGTGGGAGGAATAGTCCCCATCATTGGTGTCAGTGGGAGGAATAGTGCCCCATCATTGGTGTCAGTGGGAGGTATCAGTGTCCCCATCATTGGTGTCAGTGGGGGAATAGTGCCCCATCATTGGTGTCAGTGGAGGAATAGTGCCCCATCATTGGTGTCAGTGGGAGGAATAGTGCCCCATCATTGGTGGAATCAGTGGGAGAATAGCGCCCCATCATTGGTATCAGTGGGAGGAGGAATAGCGCCCCATCATTGGTATCAGTGGGAGCCCCATCATTGGTCATAGTGTCCCATTGGTGTATCATTGGTGTCAGTGGGAGGAATATCGCCCCATCATTGGTGTCAGTGGGGAATAGTGTCCCATCATTGGTGTCAGTGGGAGGAATAGTGCCCCATCATTTGTATCAGTGGGAGGATGTGTCCCATCATTGGTATCAGTGGGACGAATAGCGCCCCATCATTGTGGTCCCCTCAGTGGTGTCAGGAAATAGCGCACCATCATTGGTTGTCAGTGGGAGGAATAGCGCCCCATCATTGGTATCAGTGGGAGGAATAGCGCCCCATCATTGTATCAGTGGGAGGAATTGGTATCAAGTGCGGAAAAATAGCGCCCATCATTGGTGTCAGTGGGAGGAATAGTGTCCCCCCATCATTTGGTGTCAGTGGGAGGAATAGTGTCCCATCATTGGTATCAGTGGGAGGAATAGCGCCCCATCATTGGTGTCAGTGGGAGGAAATAGCGCACCATCATTGGTGTCAGTGGGAGGAATAGCGCCCATATCATTGGTATCAGTGGGAGGAATAGCGCCCCATCATTGGTATCAGTGGAGGAATAGCGCCCCATCATTGGTTTTAGTGGGAGGAGTAGCGCCCCATCATTGGTATCAGTGGGAGGAGTAGCGCGCCCCATCATTGGTGTCAGTAGCAGGAATAGCGCCCCATCATTGGTATCAGTGGGAGGAATAGCACCCCATCATTGGTGTCAGTAGCAGGAATAGCGCCCCATCATTGGTATCAGTGGGAGGAATAGCACCCCATCATTGGTGTCAGTAGCAGGAATAGCGCCCCATCATTGGTATTAGTGGGAGGAATAGTGCCCCATCATTGGTGTCAGTGGGGAGGAATAGTGCCCCATCATTGGTATCAGTGGGAGGAATAGTGCCCCATCATTGGTGTCAGTGGGAGGAATAGTGCCCCATCATTGGTGTCAGTGAGAGGAATAGTGCCCCATCATTGGTGTCAGTGGGAGGAATAGTGTCCCATCATTGGTATCAGTGGGAGGAATAGTGCCCCCATCATTGGTATCAGTGGGAGGAATAGTGCCCCATCATTGGTATCAGTGGGAGGAATAGCGCCCCATCATTGGTGTCAGTGGGAGGAATAGTGTCCCATCATTGGTATCAGTGGGAGGAATAGTGCCCCATCATTGGTGTCAGTGAGAGGAATAGTGCCCCATCATTGGTGTCAGTGAGAGGAATAGTGCCCCAAGAACTGGATAAAAGCAAGCAAAGGGCCGCATCTGGGCCATGGGCCACAGTTTGGAGACCACTGCTCAAGTTATCATCCCTCTGTCAGAGAATGTGATTATCAATCCCTGTTTAAAGCTAATCTGTCACTTTGTACACCCAGCTATGGTGCTGCAATTACACAGGCCGCCCGGATTAATATCCACATGTAATGCTGAGTCTCCATGATTGAAAAAAACTGAAATCCAATGAATGAAAGGGGGGGGGGCCAGGGACAGTCATCCTGGGGAGGAAGTTCCTCTAATCTTTCCTCATAGCTGAGCTCCTCCATGCCTCTTATCAGTTTGGTTGCCCTTCTCTGTACTTTCTCCAGTTCCCCAATGTTCTTTTTGTGAATTGGTGCCCAAAACTGAACTGCATATTCCAGATGAGGTCTTACTAATGATTTGTACGGGGGGGGGGGGGGGGGGAATGGCATTGAAATCATTGAAATTGTGTCATTCAGAATTCTGCCTTGCACTGCACATGGTACACACTGTACTGTCCTTCATGGCAACACAAATCACCTGTTTATACTGTGTTCCTATAAAAGTGGATGAGTCCTTTTAAATCTCCCCCATGGGGCTCTATTCCCTACATACTGGAGACCTACGATGGGTGGGGGAGCCCTGTCCATAGATGTGTCTGTTCATTATTAGCACTGAGATTGTCCCAATAAATTCCTCCAGGCGAATGTCTTCCCATGAAATGTTCTCCTCGCCAGACGTCCGCTAATCCCGATTCCCTCTTAAAGGACCTGTCCTCCATCCATCGCATGATTTCATGTTCATTTGTTTCGGGGTCAATATTCATTCATTGATTCCTCACCGTGTTAAAGGACGATCTGTATTCATCAAGGTCGAGTCTGATCTCCTCCACCTGCCACCAGCGGGGCCGACCTCACAATACGCCGGAGAAAATCACATTTCCTCATTATGTCAAAGACAAGCGTATAGCAGGAGAGCTCGGCGCCTGTCTGACGTATTGAATGAAGGGCCCCGCGATGGATTGGGGGTCTGCAGATTGAATTGTGTGTGATGACTTCATTGCGGAGATCAGGGGTCTCCAAACCGTCCACACAAAGGGCCAGAATACTGTCTGTCAGAATACAGGGGGGCCCGAATGTAGCCAGGGAGAAGGCAATGTCCTGGCAGGAACGGGAGAAAAAAAAAATGGCATAGTGCCTGTAGTCAGTAGGAGGAGGAATAGTACTCCATCATTGGTGTCAGTGGGAGGAATAGTGCCCCATCATTGGTATCAGTGGGAGGAATAGTGCCCCATCATTGGTGTCAGTGGGAGGAATGTGTCCCATCATTGGTATCAGAGGGAGGAATAGTGTCCCCATCATTGGTGTCAGTGGGAGGAATAGTGCCCCGTCATTGGTGTCAGTGGGAGGAATAGTGTCCCGTCATTGGTATCAGTGGGAGGAATAGTGCCCCGTCATTGGTGTCAGTGGGAGGAATAGTGCCCCGTCATTGGTGTCAGTGGGAGGAATAGTGCCCCGTCATTGGTGTCAGTGGGAGGAATAGTGTCCCCGTCATTGGTATCAGTGGGAGGAATAGTGCCCCGTCATTGGTGTCAGTGGGAGGAATAGTGCCCCGTCATTGGTGTCAGTGGGAGGAATAGTGCCCCGTCATTGGTGTCAGTGGGAGGAATAGTGCCCCGTCATTGGTATCAGTGGGAGGAATAGTGTCCCGTCATTGGTGTCAGTGGGAGGAATAGTGCCCCGTCATTGGTGTCAGTGGGAGGAATAGTGCCCCGTCATTGGTGTCAGTGGGAGGAATAGTGCCCCGTCATTGGTGTCAGTGGGAGGAATAGTGCCCCGTCATTGGTGTCAGTGGGAGGAATAGTGCCCCGTCATTGGTGTCAATGGGAGGAATAGTGCCCCGTCATTGGTATCAGTGGGAGGAATAGTGCCCCATCATTGGTGTCAGTGGGAGGAACAGTGCCCCATCATTGGTATCATTGGGGGGGGGGGAGAGATTTTAAAACCGTCTGGCTGGGTGGGGAGGGGGGGGATACTATTATATATATATATATATTATCGTCTTCCCTGTGCTTTATCAGATAAAAAAAATTGCAGACAAAAGGGAGCCGCCCCTCCTTAAAGGAGCAGTGACTTTTTTTTCTTTGGTTCTGTAATGTGGCTGACATTCTTCCATCTGTGAGACTGAACCGGTTCTCCGGGTTCGCGCTTTACACATCCGAGGAGGTTTCAGTCGATTTGCTTTGAATTCGGACAGGAAACGGAGACAAAGAAAGTGGATTGTAAACACTGGGGGGGGGGGGGGGGGGCGTTAATATCTTGTAGAGTAATGTTACATTGTTACATCACAGTCAGCGGCTGTCTGGACGGACAAAACAAAACAAAAAGTCATATCATTGGATTCCATCCACAGAATAGGGCCAGGAGCGCACCGCAAACGTTGTGGATATGTCGCCTTTTTAATGGCACCCCTACACATCAAAGGGTGTGTTGTACAATCGCATTGCCGCAGCATCATGCAGTTCAGTGCAGCACTTTTTAGGGTATGCAGGGTCCGGGGGGGAGCGGAGCGGGAGGGATGAGGGGGAGCGTGATATAGTGAATGCAGGGTCCGGGGGAGAGAGGATATAGTGAATGCAGGGTCCGGGGAGACCAGATATAGTGAATGCGGGGTCCGGGGAGAACCGGAATATAGTGAATGCAGGGTCCGGGGAGACCGGATATAGTGAATGCGGGGTCCAGGGGAGAGCGGATATAGTGAATGCGGGGTCCGGGGTCCGGGGAGACGGATATAGTGAATGCAGGGTATAGTGAATGCGGGGAGAGCGGATATAGTGAATGCGGGGTCCGGGGAGGCGGTATAAGAATGCGGATATAGTGAATGCAGGGTCCGGGGGAGAGCGGATATAGTGAATGCGGGGTCCGGGGAGAGCGGATATATATAGTGAATGCGGGTCCGGGGAGACCAGATATAGTGAATGTGGGGGTCTGGGGAGACCAGATATAGGGAATGCAGGGTCCGGGGAGACCAGATATAGGGAATGCGGGGGTCCGGGGAGACCAGATATAGTGAATGTGGGTCCGGGAGACCAGATATAGGGAATGCAGGGTCCGGGGAGAGGGATATAGTGAATGCAGGGTCAGAGCGGATATAGTGAATGCAGGGTCTGGGGAGAGCGGATATAGTGAATGCAGGGGTCCGGGGAGAGCGGATATAGTGAATGCAGGGTCGGGGAGACCATGATATAGGGAATGCAGGGTCCGGGGATGGACCAGATATAGTGAATGAGGGTCCGGGATATAGGGAGAATGCAGGGTCCGGGGAGAGCGATATAGTGAATGCAGGGTCCGGGGAGAGCGGATATAGTGAATGCGGGGTCCGGGGAGAGCGGATATAGTGAATGCAGGGTCCGGGGATATAGTGAATGCAGGGTTCAGCGGATATAGTGGAATGCAGGGTCCGGGGAGAGGGATATAGATGCAGGGTAGAGTCGGATATAAGTGAATGCAGGGTCCGGGAGACCGGATATAGTGAATGCAGGGTCCGGGGGAGACCAGATATAGTGAATGCAGGGTCCGGGGAGACCAGAGCAGGGTCGGGGATATAGTGAATGCAGGGTCCGGGGAGAGCGGATATAGTGAATGCAGGGTCCGGGGAGAGCGGATATAGTGAATGCGGGGGTCCGGGGGTTTAGGAACACTTTAAAGCGGTATTAAACCCAGAAGCAAACATTTCTTATATTGCAGCTTACCAATTCTTAGATTTGATGGTTGCATTAGTTTTTTGGGGTTTTTTTTTTTAGATTTTCTTTACTTTATTTTCATCTGGTGATCCAGCCAGTAAGTCTTGTTTTTCAACAGAACAAGCTGCCCTGCACAGGTAGCAGGTTGTGGGTTGATACAGACCATGTAGTCTCTGGTCACACCGATGCGACTTCACTTGAAGTCGCACAATTTGAAAGTCAGATGTCATTCCAACTTGAGATGCGACTTGCAAGACATCTGCGGCACAGGCACAAGACATAGATGTCTATTCAAGTCGCACCCGAAGTAATGCATGCTCCACTTTAGAAATCGGTGCGGCTCGAATCGCACTGATATGACCGCATTAATTGCGGACAATAGGGTGCGACTTGGCATGCGATTTAAAAAACTTGCATAGCATGCAAGTCGCACCCTCTATGGACCGGGCACCTAGGCCTGTTGTGCACCTAATGCGATTTTGTTCAGTGCGTTTTCAGTTTAGCAGTCACGTACTACAGTCCATTTACTATGGGTCATGTGCGTTTTCCACCGCTATAATGCTGCGTTTTTTGGAGGTGGTCAGGGACTTTTTTTTTTTTCCCCTGCAGCCAGTTGCATTTCTGGTTCCACAGACTTCAATGGAAAAGCAGCAGAAACACAGTTAAAAAATGCAGTTCTTGCGTTTTTGATGCATTTTTGATGCGTTTCTGCTTGGTTTCTCCTGCAAGTCTACAGACACCTTCAAAAAACACAAAAAGCAACAAACGCGTGTGAAAGAAAAAAATGCAAAACTCACCGGGAAAACGCATCAACCGCAACCTGCGCAGATGTGAACCTCATTTGTTCATGTAATACCTTTATCCCCCCACAAACAAAAACGGTTTGCTGTAACTGGTTATAAAGAGTGAGCTGGAGTTCGGCTTCAATTTGTTAGTGTATTAAAAACTGCTAGTACATCTAACACTCCCCTCCCCCAGACTGAACAATCGTGCTGTCCATAGATGCCCCCTATGCTCCTTCATCCAGAGTGGGGGCGCTCTAACACAGGAGGCATGCTCTTTCATCCAGAGTGGGGGCGCTCTCTAACACAGGAGGTGTGCTCCTTTATCCAAAGTGGGGGTGCTCTAATACAGGAGGTGTGCTCCTTCATCCAGAGTGGGGGTGCTCTAATACAGGAGGTGTGCTCCTTCATCCAGAGTGGGGGAGCTCTAACACAGGAGGTGTGCTCCTTCATCCAAAGTGGGGCGCTCTAACACAGGAGGTGTGCTCCTTCCTCCAGAGTGGGGGCGCTCTTATACAGGAGGTGTGCTGCTTCATCCAGAGTGGGGGCGCTCTAACACAGAAGGTGTGCTCCTTCATCCAGAGTGGGGGCGCTCTAGTAGAGGAGGTGTGCTCCTTCATCCAGAGTGGGGGCGCTCTAATACAGGAGGTGCGCGCCTTCATCCAGAGTGGGGGCGCTCTAACACAGGAAGTGCGCTCCTTCTTCCAGAGTGGGGGGCGCTCTTATACAGGAAGTGTGCTCCTTCTTCCAGAGTGTGGGGGCGCTCTTATACAGGAGGTGTGCTCCTTCCTCCAGAGTGGGGGCGCTCTAACACAGGAGGTGTGCCTCTTCATCCAGAGTGGGGGCGCTCTAACACAGGAGGTGTGCTCCTTCATCCAGAGTGGGGGCGCTCTAACACAGGAGGTGCGCTCCTTCATCCAGAGTGGGGGTGCTCTAATACAGGAGTTGTGCTCCTTCCTCCAGAGTGGGGGGAAGTGCGCTCTTCTGGGGGCAATACAGGAAGTGTGCTCCTTCATTCAGAGTGGGGGCACTCTAACACAGGAGGTGTGCTCATTCCACCAGAGTGGGGGCGCTCTAACACAGGAGGTGTGCTCATTCCTCCAGAGTGGGGGCGCTCTAACACAGGAGGTGTGCTCCTTCATCCAGAGTGGGGGCGCTCTAACACAGGAGGTGTGCTCCTTCATTCAGAGTGGAGGCGCTCTAACACAGGAGGTGTGCTCATTCCTCCAGAGTGGGGGCGCTCTAACACAGGAGGTGTGCTCCTTCATCCAGAGTGGGGGCGCTCTAACACAGGAGGTGTGCTCCTTCATTCAGAGTGGAGGCGCTCTAACACAGGAGGTGTGCTCATTCCTCCAGAGTGGGGGGCGCTCTAACACAGGAGGTGTGCTCATTCCTCCAGAGTGGGGGCGCTCTAACACAGGAGGTGTGCTCATTCCACCAGAGTGGGGGCGCTCTAACACAGGAGGTGTGCTCATTCATCCAGAGTGGGGGCGCTCTAACACAGGAGGTGTGCTCCTTCATCCAGAGTGGGGGCGCTCTAACACAGGAGGTGTGCTCCTTCATCAGAGTGGGGGCGCTCTAACACAGGAGGTGTGCTCCTTCATTCAGAGTGGAGGCGCTCTTATTCAGGAAGTGTGCTCCTTCCTTCCTCCAGAGTGGGGGCGCTCTTATACAGGAGGTGTGCTACTGGCCACATCACCATGTGAAAACAGAGGGGAAAAAAAGAAAACTAATGCAGCCACCATATCTAATGACAGGGAAGCTGCAATATATGACATTTTTGGGTTTGGGGTTTATTACCGCTTTAACCCTTGCAGTGCAGGGGGGTCCCACTGCAAGATTTTTTTGCTGTCCCTGGAGTTGGATTTTAAACATCCCCGTGTCATTATGGTGAGCACAGGTGACTGATCACCTCTCTAGAACTGAATGGGACAAGCAGAATCCATCCTGGGAGGAGATCCGGTATTCCATGGTTATACGCTGCTCTATGCTGCCCTCTACTGAACATTTATAGAAGATCACAAATCTTCATCCATACTAGTGAAAATAAATTCTGGATTTGCTTTCTGCTGGCGGAAACAGAAAAGAAATTTCTCATCCAGAAAAACCTCCGGGGCTTCTTCCCACCGGATGCAGAGCGGGAATGCACGCAAAATCGAGCGTTTTGCCACGCCGCACAAAAAGTGCGCCAATAATTCTCAGGGAGTTTGATTTGATATCATGTATTATGTATGTTTGATACTTTGTATCGTTCTACACATTTGTTTGGTTTGGATGAGAGCCGCCTGTCGCTTTAACACGATCACAATGTATTCATCAGAGGCAAGCAGCTAACACCAATACGGGTTTTCACAAAAATAAAAAAAAATAAAACCATTGATGATCAGTGTGGCCCCAGAAGTGCCATCTGTCAGTGCTCATCAGTGCCAGCAGTCAGTGCCCATCAGTGCCACATCAATGCCAATATCAGTGCATACCAGTGCACATCAATGCCACATATCAGTGCATACCAGTGCACATCAATGCCACATATCAGTGCCCATCTGAGCTGCCTTTCAATGTCACCCATCAGTGCCAGTCACCCCTATCAATGCCAATCAGTGCTACCAATCAGTGCCACCTATAAGTGCCAGTCAGTGCCGCCTATCAATGCCAATCAGTGCTACCAATCAGTGCCACCTATAAGTGCCAGTCAGTGCCGCCTCACAGTGCCAGTCAGTGCCACCTATCAGTGCTATATATCAGTGTCATGTATCAGTGCTGCCTTTCAGTGCCCATCAGTGATGCCTGTCAATGCCCATCAGTGCCACCTACCAGTGCCTCCTCATCAGTGCCCATCAGTGCCACCTATCAGTGTCCATCAGTGCAGCCTCATTAGTGCACATCAGTGAAGGAGAAAAATCACTTATTTACAAAATGTATAACAAAAACTAAGAAAAAATATTTTTTTTCAAAATTTTCAGTGGTTTTTGGTTTGTTTAAGAAAAAATAAAAATCCCCGAGGTGATTAAATACCACCAAAATAAAGCTCTATGTGTCTCAAAAAAAATGA